GAATCCAATACATTGCATAATCAATCACACGTAATTTAAGACTTACTATCAAAAGGATTTTCTAAAATTTCAAAGTATCTTGTCAGTAAAGTTATTTCAAATGTTTATCAACCTCATTTTCACGAATCAACTGTCTCAAAACTACTTTTTAATGTTTTCAAACCTTAAATTATTTCCAAATCATGTCTACGCTAATATATTTATATAAATAAGTATTGAAGGACTTAGAACTGATAACTGACCTTATTTCCTGTTCTTGTTTGATTGTGGACTTAGGGTATTAGGTTATCTGTTCGATTGTCGTTTAGTACTTATTTATATATCTTGTATATTTGTGTTAGATATAAAAATTTTCACTCTAGTTCAATACTCCTACATATCGAAGACACTTAATTAAGTACTCTATTTAACTATAATAGGTATAGTTAAGGATTACCATTCACTACGGATGTTACTATGATACACACTAAGGTCAGTACGATTACAAGACTATATGTACAATACACTGTGTGAAAAGAACGCTATATACTATACTATACTAAGGCAACACTATTCACTATATGAAAAAACACTAATAAACTACATCAAGAGAACGTTACATAGTACAGTAAGAGAATACTATATACTATACGAGAGAAAATACTATAATGGAATGTGATGCACTATTTCTCTATACGACACTTTGTTATGCAACTGTCGGGTAACCATCACTTCCTGGAGGTAGAGCGACCACTATGTGTAGAGATCTATACGGGATGGATTTTCCCCCTTCCCGAATGCTAGCTACTGTCTGAGCCTTTTTGGCCCAGGGATGACAAAACACTACTACACTATTGGTGACCTGGAGGGTTAGCCGCTATACTACTATCTCTCAGTATGAGTTCATACGAGCTCACATTCAAACCTTAATCAAACACACATCCCGAGGTGTATACAAAACTAATACTATCCGGAGTTACATTCACTATTACATTTCACCGGCAGGGATGCTGCTGGGGTGAAACTCCATTCCTCCTATAAAATGAACGAGTTTAAAACTGTATTTTCATTACTGATATTTTCACGAGAAGATTATTACAGTTTCAAAGAAACGAACTTACAAAACCTAGTTTTGGTAAAATACCATTTTTGCTGGAAAATATGGGATTTTCTAGGGATCAAACTACATTCAAATTTTGATAACAACTATTTCACTACATGATTGTAAACATTTTTATACATGCAACGACACTAAATACTTATGAACTCACCAGCTTTATGCTGATACTCATTTTCAAAATAACTTGTATTCCTAGGTCAACAGTAAACAGGTACTGATGCAGCTTTTGAGAAGATGGAGTGCATATAAGGCTTATCTTTTATTTTTATTATACTTTTGGTGTCTATTGTACAGAACACACACGTATTACAAATTGTTATAGTAATGAAACGGATGTGGTTGCTTGTTTTTACTATTATGCATTGTTATGATACCGTACATGACGTCCTCCACCCCAGAACATATTCCACCGTTCTCGGTTTTGGGGTGTGACAAATTGATTGACAGTACAATCCTAAAATTCTTGAAACTCAAAATCTAAGTAAAAACAAAAAATTTATTCTCATAGATTCCGAAATCAAACAATTATATGAAATTAATTTTTACTTTTGTTTAATAGATTTATTAGGCTTGCCAGCTTATGTTCTTTACTTAAAGTATGATAAATTACGACAAGATTGGTTCACAATTATTTTTTTATTGTATAATAGATTACTTTTTTGCTTCAGCGTATGTGACAACATGAAATTTATTCCTTCACCGTAACCCGTTTCCGTTAATAGAACTCATTCTTATTAAACTTTTCCGATAACATTTGGGATCAGGCAAATTAAATTAGAACTTATATTATAAATTCATAAGGGTCGGAACAAATTAGAAACACGTGAAACACCCTCAATATTCCCTTAAAAGGTTTTAGTTAAAACAAGTCAAATTACGACCATTTAATCGGGTACGACCATAAGCCCCGTTTAACGTCGGTATCGGGTAGATTTCCACATGGCCACAAACTCAAACCCTATATAAGGTTTGAGTGGTCACCAAATTAAACTTTTTACCACTCTAGTCACTCTCTCTCTCTCTACTCTCTCTCTCTCTCTCTCTCTCTCTCTCTCTTCAAGGCCCGATTCCTCCAAAAATCCGCAAGTTTTCGCCCCCATACTGTAAGTTCTCTTACCCTAGATTCTTCTAAAGCTCATTACATGTCTATATAGCATGAAAATCATCCAAGAAGGTCAAGAACAAGGAGTTTACGGCCCAAGAACCCTCTTAGGCCGTAAACCCATAAAAGGGTGCCAAAATGCCCCTAAATATGTTCCTTAGGCTTAAAGACTAACTTAGAACTTACCCTTGAAGTGTTTTAGACATTAAACATTAAGTTTGGAGGCTTGAAAGATGGTTTACGGCCCAGGAACACTCTTAGGCCGTAAACTCCCTCAAATGATGCAAATTGAGCCCTAAACCCCCTATTTAGCCTTAGACCTTAACTTAGAAACTTGTAGGAGTGAGCAAAGGATCTAAAAAACGAAGGATAAAGGGTGTCCAAGGGTTTACGGCTGTAAACCATGGTGTTCACGATTGTAAACTCCCAAGGAGTGGTCCAAGGACCGCAACCGCCAAAGGAGTGCCCCTTTTGAACCCTAAGCACCCCTCAAGTCTTGGAATTGACCTTAGAACCCTTCATAGTGATACAAGAGACCTTAAGGAACACAAATACACTCCTCCCATGAGCATACAGCCGTAACTCATGGGGGAAGTGGTCCCTCAACTGTAAACTCACCTAAGGTGAGTATTTGAGAATTAAACTCCATAGTGAGGCCTTACACTCCTTCCTTGCAAACCAATAGCCTCCTAGCACTTGACTAAAGAGTTTTTCTTCGCATTAGGATGTTTATACGTGTTTAATTAGTGTTTAATCACTAATTATATGCAAACATATGCTTTCATATGTTACTAGGGTCATAAAGTGTGTTCAAGTCTTCAATTAACACAAAGCACTCAACCGACACTTCTGTTGGGTTTGGAGCATTCTAACATTCTTATGGTATGCATGCAACCCTATAATCCTTGGATCTATGTTTTCTTCTAAAATACATGCAAATAATAATTTCCAAGGTTTCTTCCTAACTAGCATAGCATAAGCGTTATGAATCATAAAACTACTAGTAGAAATACATACCTTTTGATGGTGGTTGATTGCTTGGAGTTTGAGAGCCTAGCACCAATAATGTGAATGCCTCAAGTCGAATCACAAATCACCAGAAACTTGGAAACCGTGAGAGAATAATATGCTTATGTAGAAATCAGTCACCGTTAGTTCTCACACAACTAGTTGCCAATTCTTGCAATATGTGCATCTTTATATAGTGTGGAGGATTAGGGTAAACCCTAATAACCCATGTCTTTTCCTTTCCAAGGATCCAGGGGTTAAAAGCTCCATGGATCATCCATGGAACCCCATGCATGCTTAGCCCATTCCTAACGAGTTTAAGCCCACATTATATAAAATGCAAAAGCCCATGTTTAATTACTCTTCCTTTTAATCACTAAATTAATTCATAATTAATTTAAGACTAAAGCTAATTAAATAACATCACTTCATATTAATATATTATAACTTATAATATATTAATAAATCATAAACATACTATTCTCATAAGATTATCCATATAAATTGTTCGGGTGAAGTGCAACCCAAATGGACCATGCCGGGTCGGGTCAAGTATATACCAAATAAGTTATGGATTTAGACACCTTATCCAACAGTCTCCTACTTGGATAAGTCTAATAACTGTATTTGCGTATGTTACTTCAGGAACCAATCAGCAATCGTAGCTCTCGAAAACTCTGTTGAACTATGAAGCGCCATTTTAGATAAGTGATCATATAATCCTCTGTTCTCATGATATCAGCCATACAAATACATGGAACAACGTCGTACTTATTTTGCTGCAATTTGTTTCCCGATTTCCGATTTGTTTCACAAAGAACTAAATTGAACACATCAATTAGGTTCTAACCGGGCTTGGTACATAGGTCGACTCAAAACCATCGAGGGGCCCAAATATCGCTTCTATTTCTAGAAGAAACAGATAAACTTCGACTCATATGCTTGTTCTACTACTTGTTGAATTGTACACAAAGGCACGTTTTATAACATCAAGTTACTGATGCGTTTACGTGCAATCAATGCATAACCAACTCATAGGTAACAACTCATTTCTCTAGGTTTGAAGACTTATATGATATTACCGTCTCACGATCACTCGAGATAAATTCCATGAAGTGATACAACTGATCATGGGTTTATTCCAATACTCCTAACTTATGAGCACTCATGAATATTGTTGCAACTATTGTTATGTCTAAACACATTTAGCCATCTACAACCTCGATTCATGACAGTCTTAATTCATACCTACTTCCAACATATAAACGACTGTGGAGTGTTTAAATAACTTAGTCGTTCGAAAGAATAACCTAGCTGTAAGTCCCAAATCTAATGATCCTTGATTTGTTTGGTCTTTTCTTCATCTTTTTCCCTGAGCTCAAAAATATGTGCAGAAAGCCGATCCATCTGAATAGATTTTTCAATGAGCTGTTGACGGAGGATTCCAACTTCTTCTCGTAGATCAGATGAAGAGGATCTGTCATCATCTGTCCGTCCTGAATAAATAATATTCCTTTTCCGTGTGACGAGGTTGGACTATATTGAGCTAAATGTTTTACTAATCTGATAGATGCTTCATCAAGAGAAGGTCGTGTTACGGAATATTGTGGAATAGAAGAAGATCCACCAGTCTCGAACATGGTGCTTAGATCATCTTCAGTCTGTTTTGATGGAGAGTAAGCAGTGGTTGTAGTGATTGTTGAGATAATTTGAGGAGCACTTTTCACATATGGTACCTCCAGACTCTAAAGAGATTAGCTTGTTCTAATGGAGGTCTGGGAAGTCTGAGGTTCAGATATCATAGAAATGACTGGAGTTGATGTTGAGACAGGTGACACAGAGGGAGGAATCTCTAATGTCACATCTCCTTGACTTGTAGTGATTTCCAAGGGCTTGGGAGGTGAGCAGAATTTTGAGAGAGTTTCCTTCACTTCTAGTCTTGGTTGCTAGAGAAGCAACTTCATTGACTTTATTTGCATGGATGCTGGGAGTATCCAGAAAGGGATCAAAATCTTCATCACCAAAATCAAACTCGATGTTTGTTGGAATATCATCATTGATTCCTGTAAAGTCGATTTCATTCAAAAACTCTACATCTTCATAAAGATCATCATCGTCATCCCCTCGAGAAGATATTGAATCATTTGCTTTCTGGTGATCATGCTCATCAGCAACACAAGTTATGGGAGATTGATGAATCTCCTCCACTACAGGCTCAGAGGGAGAATTATGAGTGTATACATCTTTTGTCGGCATGGATTTATCTGCTGCTTCTTCTCTATCATCCTTTGTAAAAATTCCAAATTTTATTAAAGGAAATTTTCCTTCAAAAACAAATTTTCCACCTCTCTTTTGCTTCATTAATCCAAAGGCACTTGGACCAATGGATTTGAAATCCAGAGTATCATTTCCTCTCTGCAACTCAGGGTGAGTTACGTTAAGGATGATTTGAAGGAATCTTGGATACATGCAAAATTTGTCTCTTCTGCTTCCTTCAATATTCAGTATCATTTCATTCAAAATGAATTTTGAGAAATTAAACTCAAAACCTGCTGCCAATGCAGCAATAGCACCAGTATTTGCTAGAGAAATCTCATTAGGTCCTGATCTCCGTACAGAAACGCAACTTACGAACACATGAGCTAACAGCTTCCAGTATGGCGGAAGCAGATTTTTGATTGCAGGAGGAAAAGTTCCTTCGTATCCCATACGTTCCAAAAGTTTCTCAATTTGATGGACTTCAATTTCCATGGGGTACTCAGGTCTGTCCTCAAGTTGAAGAGATTCTCTGATGATACTTTCTGTCACTAGAACTTTTTCGTCTTCAATTGTGGTTTCCAGAAATTTTTCGCCTTGATCATTCTTCTTTACTTCAGCATTTCTCTAGAAATTCTTAATTAAGCTTTGGTAGATAGCAAGGTTTGTAGATAAGCAGTGAACCAAGCACGACTTCTTCAAACCATCCACAATGAATTTCAAGTCATTATGGGCAGCATGAGGATCTACAAGAAAAAATGTAGAATTATGAGCTTTAGCAAACTCCATGTCTCCCATTTTAATCTGAAAGTTAACACATGAAAAATTATGGCAACAAAAGAAATCTCAGCCGCAAACGTAGATACATTCAGCCGCACACGCATGTGTACAGCTGTACAAGGTCAGCCGTACACACTCGTTGTGGCAGCAAACAGCCATCCGCACATGATCTCAACATGAATGAGTGCGGCTGCACACGGTTAGCCGCACAAGGACGTGTGCGGCCGCACACACCATGTGTGGTTACACTCATAACAGAAACAACAATCTTTTAAGAAGATTTAACAGCAAACCATGACAATTTGGTGAAAATAATATAAAATTTTAACCACATTCATGAAAATTACCACGTGAACAGCTAGATTTCACAACAATTTTAATGGAAATTCAAACGACTTTGAGAGAGTTTTATAGTCTGCGGTTGAAACGTGAATAGAGAATGTGAGAAAGGTACCGCACACGCATTCCTTTTATATGAGAGAATGTTTCGCTTTTTCCCCTTGATCCTTTATTTATTTAACCAAAAACCCTTTCACTTCGTAATTTAAAAAAAAAAACAATTATTTTGAGGATTAATAAAATTTTAATTTCAAAGATTTTAAGATAAAATAAAAAATAAAATAAAACAAAAATAAGTAAGTAAAAAAAATAAAAATAAAAATAAAAATAAAAATAAAATGAGATTTAAAGATCCAGTTAACGACAAGAATCAATTTAAACCTATATGAATTGCTTTAACCTGTTGAGGATTAGGGATCAAAGTTTTTAGACAACCATTATCCGCTTGTCGGTACCCTTCATATTCACATCTTTGTCTGGTCGATTGTCGGTATTGTTGTCCACCTGAAACACGAAAAATTGTGACAAAATTAGGACATACTATAAGTGACAAGACATTGAGATCCTAAGTTCCTAGATAATATATTTGATCCTAAGTTTCTAGATACTATATCTTAAAGACCATTCAGCTGACGACGACCAGGGATATTGCTGTCCACCTAAATTGAGCAGCGAGATCTATAGACAATCTTTGAGTATTCAATTTTAATTGTACTAGAACATGTTTCCCGCATCCAGATATGCCCCGGTAATCAAGAACTCCCAGAGTACTCCTTACATCGGATGAGCAGACAATCATTTAGGGGAGAAGATAGATTCATAGTATTATCATTTATAGTGCATATGCTGTGTACCACGTCGGATTGTTAGTCACGCAAAGGAGACATCATATGGCTAATAGATAAGAGGAATTTCATATATGTATATGTATAATATGCCAAGAAATAGAGTTGCATATGTTACAGTCCAGGTCGGATCTCTTCCAATCACGCAGAGGAGGTAACATATGACTAACAGACAGAAAGAAAGAAAATGATTTTCTACAGACCTAATTTATCGGAATTTACCAGTTGCCCCATCAATACCGGAATTAAGGACAAAATCCGCACACTGAGGAAAAGTTAAACCACGGTTCAAGATACGGGTTCATTTAATGTGACGAGTAGATTTCCATATATATCTCCCTGCTCAACCTATCCGAGCGTCATATTGTCAGGCTAAACGGAACTATCTAGATCAAGATTTGTCAAGTCTCTAGATACCTTAAGTTCATCTGCACCTAGTCAAGTCTGTTAAATTCTTCGTCCCTACCGACACATCAAGCCAGAGCATAGATCCTTCAACTTTGGGTACGTTACACAGACTCCGGTTTCCTGTTATCACATGATCATATCACTTCCCTGAACAACTACCTCAAACATATTTTCTAATTTTTTTTAATGTTTTTTGGATTTTCTATTTTTTAATGTTTTGGATTTTCTATTTTTTAATGTTTACGGATTTTCTCCCCCTAAATCTGTGCATAAAAAGAAATAAAATGCGCAATTTATGTAAAAATTAAAAAAAAAATCATTCCTCAAAACGAATCATTTTTAGAAAATTAACCGGCACATCGAATCGAGCTTTGTTAAAAGGCTTGGTAAACAGATATGATACATTATTATCAGCGAGATCTATAGACAATCTTTGAGTATTCAATTTTAATTGTACTAGAACATGTTTCCCGCTTCCAGATATGCCCCGGTAATCAAGAACTCCCAGAGTACTCCTTAAATCGGATGAGAAGACCATCATTTAGGGGAGAAGATAGATTCATAGTATTATCACTTATAGTGCATATGCTGTGTACCACGTTGGATGGTTAGTCACGCAAAGGAGACATCATATGGCTAACAGATAAGAGTAATTTCATATATGTATATGTATAATATGCCAAGAAATAGAGTTGCAAATGTTACAGTCCAGGTCGGATCTCTTCCAATCACGCAGAGGAGGTAACATATGACTAACAGACAGAAAGAAAGAAAAATGATTTTCTATAGACCTAATTTATCAGAATTTACCAGTTGCCCCATCAATACCGGAATTAAGGACAAAATCCGCACATGGAGGAAAAGTTAAACCACGGTTCCAGATACGAGTTCATTTAATGTGAAGAGTAGATTCCCATATATATCTCCCTGCTCAACCTATCCGAGCGTCGTATTGTCAGGCTAAACGTAGCTATCTAGATCAAGATTTATCAAGTCTCTAGATACCTTAAGTTCATGTGCACCTAGTCAAGTACGTT